GATCCTGGACGAGCTATTTCTCTCCCACCATTTCAAATTTATTTGGGTGTAGCACGGCTCTAATCCCCAGAAGTACCCAACAGTGACTTCAGCAATGCAAACTGTCCTCTCAAAAGCGAGCGCAATGCACTGGCACCAAGCCCCTCTTAATGTCTTTGTTTCAGGAATCCACACTGCCTGACTGAAGTTTGTATTACAATACATACTTCATTTCTGTACACAGGACAAAGACACTTTCAAAACTGTTCTCTTCATCCCTCTTCACTAGGCACGAAGGACCAGCTGAATAGTCAGCACTCCTGCATTTGAGAAGGCAGATAAGGATTGCTGCCTTGTTTATATAAACTGTTTATCAGGCTGTTCTTCCTGACCGCAAGTACTACTTCCCAAACAAAAAATGGTTAATAAATCAACATTTAGCTCATCTTTCTACACCTCCCTGAGTGCTTTTTATTACAGGTTTTCAAACTGGCTTCCATGAATCCTGATTGAGCCTCCTCCTTTCATATGCTAAGATCCAAGAGCGTTTTTTGCAAATTACCAGCTGTTCATTTCTCAGCCGCATCTGGTAGTGCTGTGGTAGCAGCTTTCCTCAGAAGTGCCTGTGAACTGGGTGTCAAACTACTCGCTTCCCTGGGAGAAGATGAGTCTGCCTGCATTTCTGGAAAGTACGTCACAGTTTTTCTTCCTAGCACATGGATAAGGCCCAAAATGCAGATTCATACTACCTGATAGGGCTTCCTAGGGCAGAAATAGCTATCCTGACTTGCCCTAGCATTGCTCTCTCCAGTGCTTAGTGGTTGACCAAGGGGGAGAAACTTACGGTTCTCCATTTGCCACCTTCTGTCAGAATTTTCAGAAACCAGTATGGCAACTTGCAATACAAACATTTAAAGGGGTGTGGAAAGATGAGCTCAGTTTTTTTTTGGCTGGAAAACGGTGCTTGTGGCCCAAATGAATAGCCTATTAAACAGCGTAGACAAATGCAGGAGCAAACCCTAACTGACTTCTCAGATTCGACTGTCCGGATGCCAGCATGTCACGCTTTGCCTGCACTACCCACACCTCTTCCTCCTTGCCATAAAAATCTCTCAAGCCCTGGGAAATAGGAGCGAGCTTTACGTCACTGAGATATGCCTCTCATATTCCTCACAGCAAAAAGGGTTGGGAACTCCTGGCCTTGCATCCAAAGCCTTGCTAAGGAGCAACCTGGATGAGTCCTGGCAGCCAGGACCAGGACCTGGATGCCCGGGTTCCAGACACAGCTCTCCTGGCACTTGCTAACAGGACAGCCTGACATGCATTGTTCCCTCTCTCACATCAGGCAGCTTCCAGCTCTTTTTCCCTCCTCCTCCCTTGCTGCTAGACAAGGCAGATCCCCATGCCTGCCTGCATCCACCAAAGGTCATCCTTCCTCTCCTCCAACTACAATGCCTCTACAGGTGTATTTTCACTTGGTCCCAGGAACATGGTCATTTCTCCTGAACAGAGGGCTTAGCACAGTCAGGGCAACCGAGGGGATTCATGGGCTGCTTCACTGGCCCTGCAACAGCACCGGCAGGGCAGAAAACATCGCCCAGAGCATGGTATGACTGCACTTAGGATGCTGTACAGTAAAACTACCACCAGGAACCTGCTCAGTTTCATGGCCAGAAAGAAACTCTGGCTGTGAAAAAAGCAGCAACTTCCTATATTCTGCAGTTGGGTACTGGTGTCAGTATCAGTTTCACGTCTTGTTAAAAACTTTATCACTATGCAGTAGACACCGAGACGTGCTGCTCTTAGGAAATACAGTACTAAAGAGAAAAATGGGTGAATTTTGTAAAGAAACAAATCAGACGTGACAGAATCTAACTGGGTCAAAAGGATACCAGCCCTTAAGGTGTTCAGTAGCAAACAGCCTGCCTCTGATGGCAGATTCAAACAGTTCAGAAGACTTCAAGCAAGCCAGAAATGCTTTTAATAACATGCACAACCTGAGCTTCTTTGAGCCAAATACTAAAAGTCCATAGATGTTTTAACAAATTAAAACCACAGAGACATCTAACAATTGTTACGCGCGACCCTCCCCGGCCTTGCTCTCCTCACAGCTCTTTTGCGGAGCATCAGCTTCAAAGCGACCCAAGTCCTAAGAGACCAGGGAATGGCATCCCGTAAGAGTTTCCAACATGCAGCACAAAGGTTTGAAACAAACCTTAGACAAACAGACTGATGCCTAGACAAAGTGAGCAGGCACATTACGTTGATAAAACCCAGCATCCTTCTCACTGGGAGAACACAGATGACTGGTTGTGGGAGGCTCTTCCTCTCAGACAAGCTCCCACAACACACCTGGGTAGCTAGGGGCTTCCAGTAGCCGGATGAAGTCCACAACGCTTTCGTTCAAAGGCCCTTTTTTTTTTTTCCCCAGGACATGCCACCCTCTGATGAATGCAGAGCACGCTCATGTCTCAGGACCAGCATCCCACCTTCCTCCCCCCTCCACCTGCCTGGAAATTTAAAAGAGCTGACACAGAAGAGTCAGATTTAAATGAGTTGGCTTGAATCCTGCCCACACCTGCCTGCAGCAGTGCCACCGGCTCAGCCAGGCCCATGAGGAGCTACGCAGCTGATGTAGAGGCAGGGCAGCGCTCTGCACTGCAGTGGCAAACACAGCCAAATCCCGCTGTCTTAAAACCACCTGGGGCCAAAGACAGAGGTACAATCATGGTAGTACAGACACTGAGCTAAGTGACCTTGGCCACACTGCTGAAGAAATTCCCTACCACATTGCCACCAGCTTCTTCTACATGCTGAGGGGCTGTTAATTTTTGTCACTTACTGTTTAATTAAACAGTAATCTCTATAGGATAAGGTTTATTGCTTGCAGCTTATCTTGGCATCTGTGGCATTATATAAAAACACCAACACCCAAAATAACACCTGCCAGCAAATCTGCCTCCCTTCCTAAGACACGTATTCAAATCTTCCCAAACTTTAAAAAACAAATACCATCTACAACACTGGTATTATGTTAGGTACACCCACGCTGTTGGTTGCAAATTAGATGCAGACCAGAGGCAGGAACGTGACTGCTTTTTTGTCAAGTGAATCAGAGCAGCCAACAGAGAATTCCCAGTGGCTTTATGCTAACTGTGGAAGGACATGCAATAGCTTAGCTGAAGAACAAGGTGCCCAGCTGGGACAAACTTATCTCAGCAGAATATTTTTGAACAAATTTGGATTGCAAAGTAACTTCATAGCAGATCATCACTTTGTATCATAGGTTAACTGCAGTTTAAGTATGATATTAGGAGCCTTAAACTGAGGTTTACTGCTCTGTGAAACCATAGCCTTGGGACACAAGGAAAAGCTGAAAACCAAAAGACTCGCCCAGCTCTAAAAGAAGCTAACTGAAAAGGGAGAAACAAAATAAAACCATGGAAGGTCTAAAAGCCTAAATATTCTTTCTTTTAATGGACCTCCCCCCACTTACTACAATGCCACCTTTCCACAGAAGGCTGTTATTGCAGCATCATCCAATTTCTTAAAAACATCACACCTGAACAGCAGGTTGGCATCCACCTGTACCACCACCAGCAAACAGAAGGATATAGGGGGAAATCTCTATTTCAACACATGCCCCAGAAGGCTCGCTAGATTAGACTGGTCTGATAGACAGCAGAACTCAGCCCTTTACTAGTTGTATAATTTTTTTTTTCTCACCTTGTAGTCGTAACCCCAACCAGTTGAGGATTAACCTCAACTACTGTTAATCCTACACAACGGTTGGAGAAATAATCACTATTTTATAACACTTGAAAGGGCCTTCTTGGAGTACCTGCAATAAATGTTCCTTACTGGAAAGCAATTAATAGCAGTAAGAATCCCGAATGGATTAGAACAGTAGCAGCCCAATGAAAAAAAAGGAAGATAGAGGCAGAATTGCTGTGCAGCACATGCCTTAGGACTAACCTTACATCAAGCATCAACCACAGAGTCCTGGGAGAGGATGTCAGCTCTAAGAGGCAGCATCACACTCCCCTCTTCTCAGAAAATAGCTGCTAATTCTGGAACTGTGCAGGGTGAGTTTGGATAGCACTAGTCTGCAATGTGTTGTGCTCTCATTCAATGACCTTGCTCATCATATCACAAGAGCTAAACTCATGCACTCTAAGACTGTGGTTTGCCTTTTTTTTTTTTATTAATTAAAGAGGCATTAAACTGATTAGTGCTCATCAGGTCTGCCTCCTCTGCTTTCACGTGATATTCCATTGTCAATTTTCTAACCGAGAAGGAAAAGCTGAGATCCCAACACTGAAGATAAGCTACCAAAAAATGCCTACACAGACCAAGACAATCTAGTCCAGACAGGTCTAATCAGATGAAGGACAGAGCTTCTGTCTGCTGCCTCTGCTCAGATATCAGTGGTCAAATGAACGGAGTTAAGAGTCCTGCCAGGGAAGAATTACTCACTTCATAGTAATTTCACTAAAATGCCATGTTTTACTGTCACTACTATGCTAAAGATAGATTATTTTTAAGCCTAGTGTCCTCTTTCAACACTCTGTCAATTTGTAGAGTGCACTGTAGACCCTGAGAGTGTCAAAGCTGCAGTGCTGCAGAATGGGAAGCTGGTCTCTGAAATTCCCCCCAGCCTACATCTACTTGACAGAAACAGGACTTGGTCCTTCACCGCTCCCTCTTTATTACTGACGAGCCTTGCTTGCAACATGTTCTTCGGAGAGCTACCATATAGAAACACTGACACTTGGCAAGACAAAGCTTCATCCAGAATCATGATTTCATTTGCATATGTTTGTACCTGAGATATCCAAACGACAGTTTGTCAAGTAAACACGAACAAAGCATGATTCAATACACCCAGCCTCTTAATAAACAACACCTGGGACTTTCAGAAATGAATCATTACAGTAGATCACAAAGAGCTAGCAAAAAGAGAATGCAAAAATGCTAAACTGCATGAAATAGCACAGCTAAATAACAAACAACAATCTTACCACAGAGCAAGTCTCTGCTCAATTTCCTTGAGAAAACCAGTGTGAAATTTGTGCAAAGGTTCGAAGTTGGAGAAAATGAGATTTTTCAGTGTTTCGGGCATGCAATCCTCTTTACTCACTGCATTCTGAAACCACTACAAAGAGAAAAGAAGCAAAATTATCAGGGGGTGGAATGCAGTATGGTCATTTGCTGTCTTTATATACCTAACCCAAATATATCTAACACAGTAAGGCTCTTATTTAGCTGGCACTAGGAAAACAACCCAGGCTACGCTGACACTCCTACATGCCGAAGTGGTGCTCTTATCAGCAGTCAGGCCCCTCATAGTTAAAAAAAGACACTCCCTTCCCCTTTGCCATCACTGATTAAATCTTGAAAATTCTTTTCAAGCCCAAACTGGTTCATCAATACAAACGGAATTTGCCAATGCTGTAGGTGCAAGAGAATGAGCATTGCGACACTTGCAAATGTCCCAGTAAACCCCAAAAATATGCTCTGCGTTTTCTTTTGCTGAGTTCCGTCTGAAATCCCTTGGACAGGAGTTGGTACAGTAAGCACTCAAGCCTATGTTGCTGTGTGCAGATAAAGAACATCATGCACTTTACAAAGTGAACAAGTAGAAGGACAGCACTTTGCACTTCCAAGACAAGATGCTGGAGGGTCAGTGCCAAACACTGTTAAGACTGCAACAGGCTCCTGCTCAGTTTTGCTCTGTATTCTCTTTATTTCACCCTAATAGACCTATGGCTGACATAAAGCCATAGGACTAGGGGGCTTGCCAAGGTGGTACAGATTATTCTCTTCAACATGATAACATTACTCCCTCCTCGCTGCCCTGAGGGGTTCCGGCTATCTATGGTTGACTTCCAGCAGTGCCTAGAAGGCCGTTGGGACCACAGAAGGCTGTTACAGCAATCTTGATTGATACTCCATCAGTTGGAGCTGACCCAGATCTGGGATAAAGACAGATCCTTCCCAAGTCTCCCTCTCCCCTGCTTAATCTCTGCACTGAACACAGCTAAGGTTGAAGAACTGCACACCTACCAAGTCTCAAAATTCATGCATGACACTTTTTCCTTCTACCTTTTCCAGTGATGCTGGCTACTTGTTCACTCTCAGTGTCCTCCTAGGCCAGTCATCTGTGGAGCACAGCTGATGGGCCTGATGATTAGCTTAGAGCTAGTTGTATGGCTCTTGGTGGCACAGAAAAGTCAAATTTGCCTAACCACAAGAATAAAGGCCAGGGTGGGAAATGGGGTTTAGCTCTGAAGAACTATAACTTTCTGTTTCTGCAGCCACTGGGTGAAACAGAAGACAAAAACAACACATCTGCTGTTGAGACTGCAGCAATGAACACCGTCGCACAGAACCTGGCCTCTTCCCTTGTTGGCCTGGTTTCCCAGAAAGCGGGGAAAGTAGGTATCTTGCTGCCTGTAACCACCGTGCTGCTCCAGCCTGCATTGGATAGCGTCAGATCAACTGCATCTGCCATGCGGTCTCCTGGAACAGATGAGAAGCTGGGGAGAAGGCATCTCTCCCTGGCTCCCAGCTGGTACCAACAGACTCTTCCCTGCAGCACATCCTCCTTACCACAACACTTAACGCAGGAGATGGCAATGCACCTCTCGCAGAGTTTCACACACTGGGCGATTAAAAATGCTGGGAGGTCTGGAGCTGGCAGCCCTGCTGAAATACTGTGAGGGCCTTTGGATCCAGTGCCCTTTTAGAGACGATTGTTATTTGAGGCCAAATCTTGCACACATTACTCCTGGAAGTTCAATAAGATGGTGTGTGCGCAAAGGCAGCATGTATTTGCCTTGGTGATTTTAACAATCATGCTCTGATCAGATGTCACAGATTAATGACTTGTTTAACAGACAGTTTCTCTTACTGAAAACCCAGAATCGTTCAAATAGGTACTCCACAATATTTCATGTTAAATGGAGAGCATTTAATCCAGAAGAAAACATTTGTATGTCCCCCTAGGGAGCTACCTGAGTTTTAAGAGAAGTCACTGAAAACCCACAGGCATTTTTAGTAATTACAACCATGAAGTATGAGAGCAAGAAAAAAAATAACTGAAGTGTGTCCCAAGTTCCTCAACCTGATACAGCTTCATAGTGCATGTTACTAACCACAGTGCAAATCTCTGCTTTCTGCTTTTTGTGTTAGTTCTTCCCTAGAGCTGTACTCCCGTGTACTGCAGAGAATACCTACAGAATATAAAAGTAGCATGGAACAGCTAAGATGTTAAATGGAGCAGATGAAGTACTACTGCTGACGACAGCTTCACATGTTTCATGAGTAATGCTCAAGTAAACATACCGATGTGATGACTTCAAGGTCCTTCAGGTATGTTCGTTCTGTGGTCGCGACTTCTTTAGCAATGAAGTAAGCTTTCTCAGTTGGGAATCTCTGCAAATTGGAAACACATTAGGTTTTCATCTGCTTTTATGGAGCTGCTTTCTGTAGGAAAAAACTGCAGACAACAATCACCAAGAGAGTTACAAACTAGTGACCCTTGCTTGTGGTTACTGTGACTCATACTTGAATGTTGCTAAGCCCTGAAGCCCTGAAAACAATCCTTCCTCGCAAACACAAGAGAACAAGCACTTTCTATGAGTCTTGAGAGACTTTTTTTCTGCCAAGGTGATTTCTACAGCTCTGGGGTGCTGATGTTCCTTTCAGCTTATTCCATACATCTGGAGCAGGACGTATTCTGAAGTTCACAAAGAAATCCCTTGCAGGCCAGATAACCATTTGAATAAAAATTGACAAATATCAAATTGGATAAAATGACAAAAATTAGTGTCTGATTATTACAAGTTTCATTGTCAGGATAAGAATCCACAGTAAAATTACTCTCAAAAAAAGTCAAATCTGTAAGATTTTTCCAGTGTGGCTGGACAACCTAACAGTGGCAGAGGGGAAGGCTTTCAGGGTAAGCTACAGATTTCAAATTTCAGGAAAAAAAAACGCAGACAAATCATCCTGTGTTATCCAAGAGGCAAAAGTAGTTTTGACCTCTTAATTCTGAAGAGCCAAAGGATCCCAACTGATCTTGCTCTGTATTGCTCACGAAGCAAAAAGCAAGAGCAAAACATCCATAGATCTTCTGCTTCACATTTCCTCCCTGAAGATCAATGATGCAGACGATGCACTAGAAAGGGATGCAAGGGAAGACTGCGTGGGCATTTCCTTGTCAGTATACAACCCCATAGGAACCATCATCAGCTGGTATATTGCTGTAACTTGGACTGACACAGATAATCGTTGAGTCTATTAATAGATTCTTGACTTTTCTTCTCAAATTCCTCTCACATATTTTGCTAACTATGCACAGTGGGAAAAGAGATCTTCCTTACACATGCTCCCACTTTCCAGCAAAGCCATCTAAGTTCCTACCTTCTTCTTCCTGAGATGCTCCAAGCTCAGAAGCAGCAGGCGACAGAAGGACAAGAGCAGCCCCCCTCACCCTGCAGCACAGGAAGGATGAGCCAGCAGGCACCCAGAACACCCTGGCTTAGACAGAATCACGTCTACCTTCAAAAAGCGGTTTTGGATGTGATGCTCCCTTATGGCTTTGCTGCAATGATGGGCCTGAGCCAAACACTCCCAGCTGAATGCTGCCGGCTGTGGCTCAGACAGAGCGTTTTCTACTCCCACAACCAAATGCTCCCAGTGGTGCTCCCAGCAGAGACAGATTGGAGAGCCTGGGTTGGACATTCCTGCAGAGGCTCAACACTGTTCCTTTTCCTTCTGTCCCCTGGAAATTTTCCCTCCAATAATATGTTGGAGTTGACAGTTTTGTTACTACAAACTACTAAACTCCATTCCTTAAAAATAAGCTAGAGTTATAGGAGATGCTGTTAAAACAAGCTCTTAAGGTTGCAACCAACAGGACTGGCCCAGATTTATCCCACATTAACCTCAGGGACACAGAGCTACCCATCTTCTCTCTGCTGCTTAAAGAGGAGCTGGGGCCCCTAACTCCTGCACCTCTGTTCAGGAGAATGAATCCAGGGCACTGAACCCTCAGCTACAACAGTCTGTGTTTCCGGCCTGACCTGCTCCAAACTGTGAGTCTGGCCTCAGGAGCACAGGGATGTTCTTGGACACACTGTGACTGAGGACAGCAGATACCAAGCGGCCCAAATCAAGTTATCTGTGTGAATCTATGTTGAGGAAGGTGCAGGGAGTCTAGATATTAGTCACTTTGACAAACAACAGTAGTTGCAACACAACACAGAGAAGAGAGCCAAGGCCAATTGCCTCTACCTTACCTTTTTCTTGACCTCTTCCTCATCATCAGTCCTGATGCATGATGGGTCATTCAGCAAAGGGCTGATCAAGGGAGATGACTGCTTGGCATCAGGGCTCAAGTTTGGAGATAAAGACATATTCGCCACTGATGGTCCTCCTTGGGAATTGATGGAAAGCTCTGAAAGGTGAGGGCTGCCAGTCAGAGAACCTGCTAAAAAAATTGTAAAAGAAAAGTCAGTTAGGACAGGCTCTCTCTAGAAAGGACCAAAAAGAGTTACAACTTTAAGTTGCAGCATGTGAAATTACACTACAAGACACAGCCATCAGGGTCCTCAAACTAGTCCAAATGGACTTGAAGCCAGAGGAACCGCATCCACTTGCATTAACCAAGGGACTGGAGCGTTCTTTTAGCTGATGAAACTGGCTGAAATTAGTGTCTCTGTAGGGAAGGGATCAAGGCATACATGACTGAGCTACAATATTTACTGGTAAACATCAAATTAATACCAAATTTTTCACCATTGTAACCCACTCTATGAAACAGAATAAATACAACAACAAGGGAAGTCATCCTAGGAGTGCCATTCTTTCTAGCAAAGTAGAACTTCAAAGACTCAAATCAGTACTTCATGGGGAGCTACAGGACACAAGTTAGAACAAATTTATCTAGTGGAAGTCTAGAGAAAAAGAAACATGACTTTCTACAGCAGTGTTGCTGCTAAGACCAGTCAAATCTAATGTGAAGGGAGAAAACTACTAGTTCCCCAATTTCTACACACAACACAAGTATGTATATTATACCTTGTAGGTCTTTCCATGCTCCTCTGATTGTTTGGGATGGAAATGCTAGCATTACATTTACATAAGAAAAGCAATACTTTTAATGCACAAAGCATGACAACTTTATATTATCACAGATATAAAGTCCCATTTAATTTTTGATTAAAAATATTAAAGAATTAGACAATTAGTTACACTTCCATGGATTCATATACACTACATCAAATATTACTGAAATTAGCATTTGTCTTCTGGGAGGCAGCCAGACTACTGACTGCACAAAGGAAAGAGTTTGCCAAAAATGCCCAGTGTTCTCCCAGTTATCCCCTCCTCCAAAGCTCTGAAAATCTAAACCTGTTTTGGAAGATGGATCTGTCATGTGGAAGAACACTTACAGTCTGTACCATTTTGGCATCACACATTAATATCCAACAAAAAAAAAATGTGACAAGCTCTTGATTACCACGGCTAATAGGCTATCTAGGATTAAATGTAAAACACATACATTGCTGTATATAATTAAGGTCAAATACATTTTACTATCATGTGTTTATGTCCTCCCTAGATTATGATAGGTAAGCGTTCCTGTTGCTACAACACAGCTGAGATACTCCAGTAAACAGAGGCACCAATAAATATAATTAGGCCAGTAGTAAAACCTATTTATTTTCTGGAAGAACTCAAGATTTATTGCTAGAACATGAATGTTTTCCAATTCCAAATCAGTTCATGTTTAATATGTCATTCCTTTGAAAAGAAAAGGAAAAAAACAATAGTTATCAGTTTACGTAACCATGACAGTTATGTAGCCTATTATAAATCAAAGTCAAAGTAGTATTTGTCTGAAATAAAGGTCTGTATTATTACAGCAAACAAGAAAGGATTTACCAACAGTTTCACACTAAATCAATGTTCAGTGAAATTTGAAAAAATGCCACAGCTTGTTACACAAATGTCAATTTTATTGACACTAGCACACAACTGTATACAGTGTTTTCGGAAGAAATGGAATTCATCATTGAGAAACAGTGAAACAGATTAATAGCAAGGTTGTAAGGTTAAAAGTACTTAACTCTACATTACAAAAGACATAAGAAAAGTGGTATTACCTCAAACGTGGAAACAAAGAAATTCTGGCACTATGCCTGTCATATGACAGCGAATAAATGATTTGCACCTCTGTGAGAAGTTCACAGGCATTATAGTCTAGGAGTTAAATAGCACCTATCTGTGATAGATAGATATATCGACATATCTACCTACCTATTTATAATCCTAGCTCTAACTTCTGATGTACTGGAATTTTTATCAGTACAACTCCAGCATTTCAAACTATAAAATATCAAACAGACAATGAATTAAAAAGACTTCCTAACCTACACTTGGAAGACATGATTTGGGAAAAGTATTATAGAAAGTATCACAATAAAATGTGCCTGGTGGCTCACAGCTTTGAGTATATGCCCCATTGATTAAAGACTTGCACATCAGTACATCAGTGACATTCTGAAAGTTATTTTGCAGCTAGTTGAAATGCTACATCCTCCTTGTGGACATGAGCAGTGACCAAATCCAACCATCACCACCTACAATCAAGAGCTGAGTTACACCCCATCTGTCACTATGCTGAGCAAGTGCAAATTAAAGCTAAGTATAAGAAAGTGGCTATATTACAAAAGGGCCTCAAAACGCCGTTACGTTACCACATTCTGGGGCCTAATTACAATCAACACAGTCATAAAGATCAACACATTGGATGTTGTTCTGGTAAAGGTGGGAAACAAATTCATTCTGCTGTGAGAAAGTCAGTAAATCATGAAGAAATGAAAATGGAAAGTCTTCTCTCCCCCATCACCAATCATGTGTCATGCTGATGGGTCATGGCAATGCTGCAAAGTGCCTGTCTCTTTTTCATGGAGGTGAGGAACAAATAACCTGCATTAACCAAACAGTCTTTTCTCTGTGTTTCATCTGACCTCCTGCCATGAAAGAGTATATTCATACAGGCTCTACTCATCAACTACATACTGCGGAATATAAACAGAAGCAGAAGGGAGAAGACCAATCTCATTTACAAGGTACTAAAATTCCTCATATTTTACCCTAAAGGATTCCTTGATTGACAGGCAATTATTAGCACGTCAGTTGCCAGATATCAAGTGGTACTGCACAGTACGTCAGAGGCCTGAAACGTTTGCAGCTGGTAACATGGAATTGTCTTTGCTCCTACTTCAAGTGACTTTTATTTAGATTCAGATTTGGGCCACCTTTCAAATATAATGGAGCCAGCTATATACACACAAAGCAGGAGACAAGTACAAAAGGATGTTTATCTAAGGATTGCTTAAGCACATACTAAAACTATATCCTTGGTAGAGTGGGTAGGAATTAAGCATGTGCTTCAGTTCTTTCCTGAGCTTGGGTTTAAGAAGAGAAACAAACACTGGTTGATGACAGTGGCAAATAATGAGAATGCACTTTACCACGGTATGCCAAATTAGCTCATCAGTGCCAAAATACCTGGAGTGACTCTTAGTTCCACTGAGCTAATTTACTCTCCAGACATCAGGGAAAGGTGCTGCAGTAGGGAAGGTGACAGAAAAAGTAAACCTTGGTTGAAACCTAACTTTAAAAAAAAAATAATCTATGAAATGACAACAGCATTTTACACAGCCACAAGACATGAAACTGCAGGTTATTGTCCTAGTTTTATACGTGTCTCAAATCATTCCCCATCAACATACATGTTCCATGTGCTAAGTAAAATAAAGACAGTGGCTAAAATCAAATACTTAATAACTATACCTCTGTCAAAACACACATCACAGTGGCTTGCTGCAATTTGGTGGCGGGAATGCATGGGAGTGCTGGCAAGGGGCAGCTGGGCTCTGCGCTTGACTGGCCAGCTGTGATCCATCCCACTAGCAGTATCTGCTTTACTCTAGGCTCCCATCATGCACAGATGTTAACCCATAGGGACTAGTGCTGAGGTTGGCATCTACAGGGCCTTGGGCTGGCTGAGCTTTAAAACACGGCTACTACCAGGGACAACACAGTTCAAATCAGTACTTTTCAGCTGATGAAGAACGTCTCTCCCAGAGGTGAATTCAAATCATAGGTGAGCTGAACTGCCTGCTGCCTCTTTCTTTGTTGACTACATAGACAGTATAAGATGATCTGAAATCCCTGGTTAGAGACTTTAACCTAACATGGGAGGGCTCCCCTTTTTGTGAGGAAGACAAATGGGACTCAGTGTATCCTGAAGATACTCCTCCTCTATTCCTTTTGTCCTGAGACTGCTGAAGGACAAACTCAGGCCATTTAGTGTTCTGCATCTGCTTCAGAAGAAACCGTTCCCATCCCTACACACTGTGTTTTAACAGCAAGGAAGAGTACAGCAGAGTTAAGATGCTCCTGCGTATGTTCCTCCTCTGTGGAATACCAAGAAGTGAAAACGACTCAATTATGGAAACTGAGAGGAAACATCAACCATTACTGAAGGTGACTGAAATTCTGCTGGAAAACTTCACGTACAGCTGCAGTGCTCACTAACTCAATTTTTAAGGGTTATATTGTTCTCATGGTTTATATTTATCACTAGAAATTAAAATGTGTTAAGAACCAGAAAAGTGCCTTTCTCAATATCTGGAACGTTGCAGGGCTTAATCTCTCTTAGGCCTGCTCCACAGCCTGCTCTGCAGTCAGGGGAAGCTTGTGACATCCTGATCCCAGTTACTCTGCTTTAAGGGCAGGTAAGTCTTTTCTAAAGTCCAGTCTGGTAGATGAAACCCAAGCTGTTGCCCCTTTGTCCTTTCCATTACTGAGCAGAACACTTCTGAAGGCTCTTTAATAAGAAAGTATCTGATAGAGCTGCCGCTGCTGTGGCCACACAGTTAGGTCTAGCTTAATTTTCCATAGTCACAGTGGTTGCATACCTCTAACTTCTACCTAAAAGTTTTGGTCAGAGAAAGAGGCATAGTACAAAATGACATGTGGGACAGACAGTACCAGATGAAGTGGCAGGAATTTTCATATGCACCTCACTAATGACTGAAGTACCTTAGATTAGAGCTTAATAAGGGTGTCCATCCCTTCCCTCCCCAGCTGTGAACCAGGCACAGCTGCACTGCTGAACAAACAAGAGTTATGGGACGGAGATTCTGCTCTGCTCTACCTCAATGCAAGAACAAAATCCCACTGACTTCCACGAAAGCTCGAGGAGGACCAGTTCATCAAGTTGCACTTCTCTTCCCTATTAAACAAAACAAGCTGGAGTGCTGGATACAGTTTGTTAGAATTAAAGATCTTGAACAGTGTTATACATCAGCCATAAATTTATGTACAAACATCCCTGAACGCAGTGCCAAAGAATTTGAGGAAGAACGGGAAGAAAAAAACAACTTGGGAAGAGATCCCATGTCACACATA